ATGACTAAAAGCTTTACAGTTATGGTTTGTTTGGTTTGAATACATTTACGTTAATTTTCTTTATTGAAAGGCATACAAATTTCCCATTACGTTTAACTGTTATATACTCAAGAAAAAACCCATCTTTAAGACTTAGAAAATACTATGCCATCATTACCTCCCAAAAAAAACTTAAATTGAATTATTTCCTATTTTACGATTTCTTTCAGAAAAAAGAAAAAGAAAGCCACCGCCCATCAACTTTCTGCTGTGAGCTCATTGAAGGATTTATTAACTATAAAAAAATATCGAATAATACTGTGTATTATATGTGTAAAGTCATAAATTGGACTGCACACGAGCACTTTTTCTTCTAAGTTTTGAATAATAAAAGCAATTCTCAAACTAACACTTTTTATTTAATTTGTGAGAGAAAATTTTAACTTATTTCAAATTTCATATCTTTCTAGTGCAAGTAGTATGTTTTACCATAGATTCAAACAAACTCAATCTAAAGCACTATTTACAGTGAATAATGTTCTGAGAATAAAGAGAGGATACTGTCAAAAGAAATAAAGTTCCTGCTATTCACTTTGAATGTGCATAAGTAGAAGTACATTTGTAGGTTCTGAGTAACAATCACAAAAAATTGGACCTAATGACTGAGTAAAGTTTTAGATATTATACTGGTAATAGGTTACATGACATAAAACTTGTAACAAACTTTGGAAATTAGCATAAAAGGTCCAAAACGTTCTGCTCTGTGGTTTCAAAGTTTCCAGAATATATTACGAACATTTACGTTCAGAAGTGAGCTTAGTCATCGTATATGTAAGAAGTAACTTATTTAATTGCTTGTTTTATGACAAAGGTAAGAGTCCCATATATGAAGAAAGATAAACGAATATTAACCTTAGCTGTGTCTAACTAGATTTATTCAGTTAGACCTTTAGTTAGAAGATATGATCTATAAATGTATTTAATTATTAATTTACAACATACTGCTTCTAATTGTAGTATTTTTTCTATGACAACAATTATAGTTCATAAATATATTAATATCTATATAATCGTTAAATGTACCTTAAACTCATATTACAACTCAATGTCATTTTACCAAACAGAAATTGGAAAATGTCCTCACCAACCTAAAAGAGAATTTTGATATAATCAATTGCTTGATGTTCTTCATCTTTTAATTACTTTCATTTATTATAAAATAACACTATAAGTCTACGTATCAAATAATTTTATTTTTGTTTTTCACACCATTTAACATCCACGTTTACGATTAGAAACATTTCTAACAGTATTTATATCGCAGTCGTGAGACTGAAACCTGGCGCCGAACATGTTAACCCTTTCAGCTGTCTGAGCGTTATATGTAACGATAAATCTTATTATTCAGTGATGTGCCGCTGGCCTGTTACCTTCACCCTGGTGAAAATTTCAAAATGGGTGACGGCAGTAGATAGTCTTAGAAGCTTTTTCATAACTACAAAATACAAATAGAAATACATGTACAGTATTGGCCAAAATGTTTGCATATTTTAAAACAAATATCATTATTATTAAAATGGGAATATAAGTACACTTGGTACTATCAAACTGAGAAATGCATGTTATATTAAACATCTAAATATGTAATTTATATAATGAGACAGGTTCTATGGACATCATGAACGATTTATTAGAACAGCAAACAATTTTATCAAACACTTGTAGAAAGATGTGTAATTCAGAATTTCATCTATCACAACAAAACCTTACCAAAACATGTTGATGACAAAATATAACAACAAATTGTTATAAATTACGTCTGTAACCTTATTTCAGTTCATGTGTTCATGTCATTCCTGTAGTAAGTTGTTGATGGCCAGGTGGATAGGACA